TATATTGTTTCTGTTCTGTTAGCTAATATAAACTGGCCAATTCTTATTTCTTTATCATTAATGATATAATCAACTGTATTAATCGTAAATAATGTATGGTCATATTTTTTTTTCAGTGTTGACACTGATGGTACAAACGATCCTAAACTACCTGTAACAGTTTTTAGCAATGGCACCGTCACGTATAATACTCCTTATATATTTGTCTTCTATTGTAAGGTTGATCTTACATTCTATCCATTTGATGTTCAATACTGCAACATGTCGTTCGGCTCGTGGGCACATGATATAACACAGGTCAACCTAATTCCGCCAAGTCTTAAGGGTATTACAGACCAGTACAAGGATAATGGCGAGTGGAATCTGATTAAAATGCCAATAATGGAAGAGGAAGTTCTATTCTCTTGCTGTGAAAACCATTTCAAATTATTAACTTTCCAGCTTAACTTGGCACGAAAACCTGACTTCTATATATACAATTTAATTTTGCCATATGTGTTAATTTCAGTTATGTCTCTGTTAGCATTTTATTTGCCGCCAGAGTCAGGCGAAAAGATGAGCTTATCGATAACAGTTTTATTATCTCTGATCGTCTTTAACCAGCTAGTCTTCCAAACTATACCCCGAGTCTCCGCAGAAAGTTTTCCAATTTTAGGTACGTGAACCTTGGTGCATTATAAGATCTAGTTGGATGGTAATATCGATAGTTGATATTCAAGAGATAAAGATATTATAAACATGCATAGGCCTATGTAGAAAATGAATTTGATTTTTAAAAATTAATGTTCAAAAACTTAAGGAGTCCAGGTTCTGCCTATGATATCAAGGACATGCCGAACGTAATCGTTTTTCTAACTTTGACTGGTTTATTATTGCATTACAAAATATGTACTGATGATTAAAAAAATGTGTTTGTACCCATGAAAATTTGCTTGTTCTTATCAACTGAGAACCATAGTTTGAATCAATTTATGGTTGTGATTATGTTGCTGGCTTCCAGCTCTTCAGCACCGTTAGATTTATAACAGTGGCTATTGTTACACCAGACTAAAATGAATTCAAAATTCTGAGGATGGTATTTCCTAATTCAGTTTCCTATATGTAATAACATTCAATCAGAATAAGGAATTTGTTTAAGACAGGTGTAGCAATAGCCTCTGCTTAGATTTATAACGCACTAATTGATAACAATAACGAATGTTGATTTTTATTTTCGTATAGTATCTTATGATTATTTACATTATTTAAATAAAATGTTATTTTACAGGGAAATACTTTATCTGCATGATTGGAATGGTGTCGATGTCTGTGACAATGTCGGTCCTAAACTTACACGTGTATCATAGAGAGCATGCTTGTATCCCGATGCCAGAATTCCTTCGATGGATCGTATTCAGCGTTCTTGCTAAAGCTGTTGGAATATGCAAGCCGCACCAAGTTCCGCCTGCTTTGAGCAAGGAGTGGACGAGTTACCAATCAGAAAAAGACGGCTTTGAATTGGAAGAGCTGATGGACGATATAGACTTCAAACCAGAAACTATCTTAATGACAAAAGGTGGAAATAACGACGGTTCTCCTCACATTGATCGGATGGAACGACACATGACACGAATATCCAAGTTCACAGAGTACCTAGCCGCGAGGAAAAGAAAGAAGGATAAAGATCAGGAAATAGCAAAAGAGTGGAGAGATGCGTCGGCTGTAATCGATCGTACATTGTTGCTGTCTTTCGCTTTAATCACTATATGTTTACCAACGTTCTTCCTGTTGGCTGCCCGTGGGTTTTTTAGTTCAGAAGACAATGTCAATAAATGAGAAGTTCTTAAACACATCATCATCAACATCATCATCATCTACAATCATATTATCAAATAGTGTGTTCTCTATATATATATCAGTATATGCTTACTACATTTAATATCAGTATATGATTGATTGATTGAATTTATTCGGTGAAACACCAAGGATAGCCCACGAAAGTCTAGAAGAAGACTTATTTCCAGTGGTGTGCTTCTGGTGGTGATTGGGCAGTACACCGGGAGACAATCCTCTACTCTTTTCCGAAAGTGTACTGCGTTCTTTAACGTGCACATGGGCCATAATGCACACGGGACCAACGGCTTAAACGTCTCATCCGAAAGACGGTGCGCTATTGTAACTTGTATTTCAGCCCTGAAACATAAGGAGAGGTAGCGATGGGAATTGAACCGGGGACCTAGAGATCTCCACGGTTCAGCGCACACACCGTGGCTACCACCAGATTAGCCGGCTGAGCTAAGCTGCTCTCGTATCCAGATACACATAGATTTTTTTTTATGTTCGTACGGTATCTGATAAGTATGCATAAGTGTACGTATACCATTAGGCCTACATTGTATATGTGTTTATTTATACAAAATATGAATTTTTTTTTATAAAAAAAAATTGTTTACGTTTTCATTTTCATACATTATATCCAATGAAAATTTCGTAGTAACAATTATCCTGGATAGTATCTTTGTATCTCGTTTGCACTTTATTTGAGGTACGAATAAATTAAATTGAGTTAACTACAATTATCAATAAAGTGATATTATTTTAAATCTTATTGCAATAACATTACCATTTATGCCTTGTATTAACCTGTGTCGACAGTCGTTGACTTGATATCAAATAACAGCGAACCCTTTTTTACGATGAGATATATTGTAATTTATTTTATTACAGTAACCAAAATATCCCACTTTTATGAATCCCACTGGGCATTAGATGTTAGTCAATGAAAACCCATTTTTTTTTCAAAATGATGTGAATATATTTACATAATCATGTACAGTCGGTTGTCGGTTCAACATTTTATTATAAAGGTTGGTTTCCTGAGAAATCATTGCAAGTTTTGTAATATTTAAACACGGCGATGTTCAAAAACATTCAGCACAGATGCAATAATCCAATTCGAAGTTTGAAATGCACATGCCCGTATCCAAGGTCAATCGAATGAATGTGTGAATGTTTGTTCATCGACTGACTTTGATACGGGCATGCGCAGTTCAAACTACGAAATAAAATAATTAAATAAAAAAGGAATGGATAGACATCACTGATCTCTATAGCTATTATAGTAGAGATCAGTGATAGACATCCATTTTTTATTTTTAAATATAATTGTTAATAAATAATATATTATGGGCAAGTTGTTGCCAATACGACTGAATAATTAGGTTATTGGCACTGGTAATGGCAATGCACATGATACCCTAAATCAACCGACGATATGAGGCTTGAAGTTGAATTGGTGAGAAAAAAAAAATCTATTATAGAGAAGTCTTGAACTCTGACCCAGGGTAAGCATTTCAACAATCAAGTTTACGTCTTTGGCATTGTAATATTTATAATTACTATTATAAAATGACAATGATAATGAATTATATGATAGCAACATTTTCACTGGTGATAATTTATTATCATCTTTAATGATATTGAATGGAATAGCGCATTAGCATTGCGGCTGCAAAACGTTTTACCGTTTACACGGTCCTCTGAGGTAGCTAGTTCAGTATTATTTGTATATATTTAAATACACAGTTGTAAAGACAGATGTATGTTTAGCAACATGGTCTTTTTTGGACATTTTACAGTAAAATAACTAATATCTGGACAATAGCTTAGATGACTTTTGAAGATAAGAACATCTTTTGAAATCACTATGATAAGGCCCAAGAATAATAGCGAAAACGTGTGTTTTTTTCAACACCGTTTGTTGAAGTTTGTAAGATATTTGTACATTTTTAATATGTACTCAGATGTGAAAATGGTGTAATATTCCTTGTGGAGCTCTAAAGAATGTGTTAGACGTTAGTAGGTCACACGTATACCTTTAGAGCGTAAAGCTATAATAGGGATGCCGTAACATATGTAATTTTATGACTAGCAATCCTAAAACATGGATCGGAATAACGTTTGCTATGTTCATACACATTGCTCTTACCATCAGAGTTTAAAGAAGAAAGAACAAAATACCAAGTATTTGTCGAAATAAAACATTGAACCTTTTCAGACAGAGTGTCATGGAAACAACTGACCAATCAGGGCAGGGCCAGAAACACTCGCATGTCCCACAGACACTTTCACAAACGTTTTTGCTTTCGTCTTGTGGGACCTTAGCAATAATATCTAAGGAGCGAGTCTTTTCTGAATATTTTCACTATTAGAAATGTTTCAAAACCTTACAAAAACAATAGCGAGTGGGTTCACGTTATTTTGCATTATTCGTACGCTAAAACGAATACAAGAATTGAGGGCGCACTGCAGACAATCTTGAGTGGATTTTACATTTTACGGCGAGTAGCGAACTAAGTTAGTCATTATTATGGTCGTGAATTTACTCGTTCCGAATGTTAAGTTGGTAAATATGTTTATATTGTTACTTTTTTGTTGTAATTACGAATATTGCCGATGATTCTAGTAAATTGCATTTACGTTTAGTGGAGACATAAATTGAGATGGATTAAAAAATTCTAAAATTTATGTATTGGTAAGGCTGCGTATAAGAGCGACATGTATTTTTTGTAATTATGAGGGTTTTTTTTATTAGACATGTGAATATGTTTAAACAAGAAAAGGAATTATGAAAAGAGTCCACTAGTTACTAATATTTTGCAATCGATTGGTTACAAATTAAACTCCATGTTTAATTTAGGTGACGGGGGTAGTACATGTAACAGTTTCAAATGTCAAATATGTATTTAAAACGATATTGACGTGAGTATTTTTAAACATTTTTAAAGATTAAATCGATGTATAATCAATTGTGTTTTTATGAAATCGCCTGTTGAAGGCGTCATCAACCGATTTAATATCTACATTTATTCAAGCATGAGAACGAAATCAATTCGACCAAGAAAACCACTCTGCTGGCAGAGCAGTCGAAATAAATCTGAGCCCAGAGGACGGTCCCAAAAGTGAAGCCAAAAACGTGGTTATATAATTTTATGAGCTTTTTGCTTTAAATTTCAATTGTATTACCTCTGTACTGTATTTTGGACTTTTGATGCTATTATTTCGTCATGTTCCCTCCATTTGGATGAGTCCTGACTGAAGCAAGTTTCCCTCTTGGTGGCGTTGTTAGCGTTGGCTCCCGAAATTTGCCGACGGGGGTCCAACAAGTACGACATTGGTGTTCGGTGGCCACCTGGAGCCTCTGAGTGAGGACCCTGAATATAATCTCTGGTGGAGTTTGTGGAGAAAGATTATGTTCCGGAATCCTAAAATTGTGCTTTTTTGGACCAGAATATTTTGGACCAGAATATCGCCACTGGACGATGTTTGCTTTTAGGAGGCCTTTAGGCCTATGCAAGCTACAGGTTATAAACCTGTATATCAAATGGAATTAACATTCATTTTTGGTTGCATATAATGTCGTGCTGTATTTGATGGTGCCTATATTATTTTAAAGAATTATTATGAGGAAGTAAATATGCATATCTACAAATTGCTTAAACTATAGTCTACAGTGTCATTACTGATGTCAATGGTCCATAATCCTAAAAACCCCCTAAAACAATAATTTAATAAAAAGTTTCAAACTTTATTATCTCATAGATGAAAAATGTTTCGGAAATAGCCCATCATCAGGTGGTATATGTACAGTATATACAAGCTTTAAAAACAATTATAATTTATATATATATATATATATCTGTCTCTTATACACATCTAGATGTGTATAAGAGACAGCCTCTGAGGTCTACTACTACTACTACTACTACTACTACTACTACTACTACTACTACTACTACTACTACTACTACTACTACTACTACTACTACTACTACTACTACTACTACTACTACTACTACTACTACTACTACTACTACTACTACTACTACTACTACTACTACTACTACTACTAGTATTACTAATCTTTTTGCTGATATCGAGAATGATTATATAGCTAATGCTTTACTGATGTATTGATGATGATCTAGCAACTTTGTTTAAAGATGGTGAAAGTAATAGTAAACTTCCCAATCAATTTGTTGATATCCATAACGGTGATGTAGTGTATGTTTTACTAATGCATTGATGATGGTCGAAGGTGATGACGTCAACGATGTTTAAAGGTGGTGAAGCCATGTGAAACTGAGAATGCATAGTAAAACATGTGTGTCTGTGATTGTGCTTCAGTTATAAAAATAAAGTCACCAAGCTTGCTTGTACTGTACTACAGCTATTCCCATGAATGACCGATACAGAAAGTGGGTAAGTATTTTCCAATGCTTAAATCTTCTCTTAATAATAGTGACCCAGTATTCTATTAGTAACTCATGCTCTACCGGCCCGGGATTTATCAATCTCAGCTTAGCAAAAGTCTTAAGTCAAAAAAGTGAAGATGTCCCGAATAAATATCTTAAGCTGATTTATTAAACCATCTTGGCAATATCTTGGCTTAAAAATCGTCTTAGATGGCGCTTCCGTATCGACTTTCAGATTTAAACAATTTTAAGCAAAGCAATATGGATAAATTTGACTTAAGCAAAAAAATGGACTTAAGACATAATTTAAGCTGAATTCTAGTTCCATACGCTCTTGTCACGCGTGTTTGCGTACGTGAACGCTGTCTTTATGTGGGGTTTTAGCAAGAGTATAGGGGCGCGGATGGCGATTTTTTTTATCGTAGGTAAGTTCAGCAAACATTTATTAATTATTCATTACTAGAATGTCTGAAGGCATTACTAGCACATGCGCAATCTCGTTTCGCTGAACTGTATTTTGCTTGTGATAAACTGCTTACATCGTGCCTTACAGTTGTATATACTGTAAACAGACACACCGCAGAAAGGTAAACGTTTACACTATTGGCCTTTTGCACGAATCGGTAGACATCTTGAAGTGATGACAAACTACCCAAGTCAGTGGTGCGTAATCAACAGAAATAAGATAAGCTTTGAGGCTAAATTCTTGTCCTCATGTTATCTAAAAATTCATAACTCTATAACGGAGGGCCGTATCACATTATTTTCTTTTCTGGAAAGGTTCTTAAAAGATTGTTCTACACCACTATATGA